AATCGTTCATCTTAGTGCTTAAATACATTTAAATTTATCAACAATCATAAAATCCCCTCTTTTGTTACTAGTTACACAAAAGATAAATATTCCTTTCCCTGTGGATACGAACCTTAGTTCAATATACTACGTATATTTGTTGTATGGTATTTATTTTGAGTGCACCTCATGACAAGTGCACGTCAGCAGTTCCCACTGCCTACTTGATAAAATATGAAGTAACAAAGTGCTCTATTAAGATTTTGGGTATTCAGATCCTCCTATCAGATTAATCTTTTATGATGGAACTCGAGTCTTCACATCATATTAGAGTCAAAAGGGTCCATAAGCACAATGTGAGCCCCTATGAAAAATAAAGAAGCAATTAATAAAATGACATGACAAACCGGCGAAAAAATAAATGATGACATGATAGAGATGAAGTGTAAGGTATTAAGGATGAGTACAGTGATGAAGTCTCACACCAATAAAGTATGAAATAATGAAGTTGTTGATTATTTAGTTTTGTTGATGACTAACCTTAAACATGATTGAACTCTATCCTTGGGTCCAAACAATAACTCATTACTTAACTTATCATGCAGGTGGAACCTTTGGATAGAACTACCAATGGAACGTACCATGTTCTGTTCATAATTATCGTGCTTGCCCATACTAAGTGATTTAATTGATATATGCTCACCTATATTTCATCTATACAAAGTTATATTGTTTTACACGTGGCACATTTCGCATGTATGACTAGGCACCCACTTTAGAGAGTTGATCCCCATTATGATTAATGCACGTTATGGAAATAATCATCACTTGCGCTAAATGATTGTCTTGCTATATTTATAGTAGTCTGTAGTATGCTATACTTGGTAAAACCATCCTTGATTGAAATATTAAATAAATATCTTTTTGAAAGGATCACGGAATATGGAAATCATTGTAACTTGATTTAATTTGATTACATGAATAATTTGTGGCTACTTATTGTCCTTATATGATGGCTCGTAAATCATGAATCAGTTTTGCTCATGATTGAGCGAATAAAAGAGGAGCTACTAGAAGGAAAGTAAATCAAAAATATCAAGGTAAGTCTACAAAGCCTCTAAAGGAAGGAGAATCAACGGATATCCTCTGGGCTATATATAGTCGAAGACCAAGAGAAGAAGAAGTGGTCTTGACCGAGCAATTACAGAGAAAATTACTTATAAAGAATTATCAAGACCTGGACCTGCTCACGAAGTTCTAGATATAGTTTCTTTTCCATTCTTTATCTTGTAACTAGACTTTGAGGAAATGCTAAAGTGTAGCTTTCTCGGGTTGGGGTCGTGTGTGTGAGAGCTTTGTTGTAAAGCTGAGAGGCTCTCTACCCGAAAGGTAGAGATGCATAACTCTTCCTAGAAAGGATAGAGTTGGGGTGGCTCATGGGTAGATTAGGAGAATTTACCTTGTAACCACAAAAGGCTTTTTAGTGAAGTTGTTTAAAATTCCTCCGAAGGAGGTCGGGGTTTTTAATCCCTTTGAGCCAAGGGATTTTTCCTTGTTAAATACTTGTGCACTTTACTAATTCTCAATTCCTTGAAACCAACACTAGAATGTGCGAAAAACTTCCACGATTCCACACACACACAATTCACCCCCCTCTTATGTTGCTAACCGTTTCATCAGAAGTGATACTACTATATTAAGCTCTTATGTTATTAGGCCTTTCAGTTTTAGGATAAACCTCATGATTCAACATTAACATATTCTACCTCTATCCGACCGTCCCTTAAGACTTTGTCATGTTTGACTTTTCGATTCAATAATGGTAAACATTGGTCAATGATTTTGATTAGTATAATTATATGAAAGTTATGAATTTCATACTCTTATAAATTCTTTTCAACAAATAACATTGTGGACATATAAAATTTATTGGGCCAGTTGTGATGATTATTGGACTTCTTTAAGATCTACCAGATTATTCTCAATCATTTTGGGCTTCTTTTGAATTGTATTGAGCCAACATCGACTCTACTGGGCTGCTTCTGGTGGTTGTTGGGCCTTATAAAACATTAATATGGACCCGCTCGGATAGAATGCAATGATTAAATTAATTTGGGGCATTTAAATATCCAATTAATTTGATTATAATTTAAATCTTTAAAAGAATGGACCGGTCCTATTAGTTTCTTTATTTTGAGCCCATTATTAAATAGTAGCCCAATGAATAAGAGTCGTGATCCAATTGATAAAGAGAGCAATGAATATGGTTAAGAAATCCATCCGTATGCATGGAAAATGCATGACTGCGAACCTTGTTAAAAAGACTGTCCAGATACATCGAACAAGTGCGGATTTTTCTGGCTATTAAATGCAAGCAAATAGAGCCCTAAACCCATTTTATTTGAGTCCCAAGGGATATGAACGAATTTCCAAAACCCTAAAGCATATTTTCATCCCCTCCACACCTATAAATAGGGGTCTCAGTTGAGAGGAAAGGGGAGAGAATTTTCAGACGAAGAAACGCTGCAGAAAAGCTCTCAAGACCTCCCGAAAGGCTCTGAACGATTCCGAAGAAGAGGAATAGATCAAGCCACGAATTTATTAAGAATATACGAATAATCCTTCGTGATTTTGACAATTCTTAATAAAATAAATCCAAAAGTTGAAGAACGTTCGAAGATCTGAAGAACGAAGCTTGAAGATTCGAAGATCTGAAAAACAAGACTTTGAAGAATCCGAAGATATGAAGAACGAATCTTTGAAGATTTGAAGATACTCATATGAAGATTGAATTGAAATTCAATTGAAGATCAAGCCATATATCCCGGGAGGCCCTTAAACAAAAGATCAAGCCATAAAATGGCCCTTTTGTTGAAGATCAAGCCACTTGAAAACCGGAGGCCCTTCAAGTTGAATTCTTAATTCAAGAAGATTTGAAGATCCGACGAACGAAGATTCGAAGATTCGAAGATCTCAAGAACGAAGATTTGGAGATCTGAAGAACGTTCGAACGTTTGAAGGAATAAAGATTTAATTTTGAATTAATTTCTTTAATTATATTCATGTCAAATTGCAAGTGAAGAATCAGAGGACTCATATTTAGAGATTGTACCCAATATTCTCACATATTATTATTTGCGATCAATTTTAAGTGAATACTTAATTAAAATTTGTTTCACAAACATTTCCGTACAATTTTTATTTTATAGTCCATAAACCATTTCCTATAAAAACATATCATTGATCAAAGTTTAACTTGATTTACTAATTATGTATGATGTCAAGCACCATGTGGTTTGACATCTTTGTGTGTCTCCAAAAGATGCATGATGTCACATGTTTGAGTTTTATCCCAATAAAAAATATTAACATTTATCATACTAATACGAAGTAATAGATTAGAAGCACACAAAAACATATGGAGTATAGCAAGCTCCCTTTTAATTTCTAATTTTAATACCATTTTTATTAAATTCAAACTAAAATATTTCTAATTATATAGAGAGTTTAGAGTACCTTTGAGCTTTGTTAGTTTATTCACGTATAATTCACATATAATTAACTCAAACGTATAATTCACATATAATTCATGTATCGTACATATTGATACATATTTTATTCAAAACAAACACCATTAAACTGAAGCCTAATGTAGTGGTACAACTGAAGCGAACTGTCTAGCTGCTCAGTACTATTTATATTGCATAAAATTTTATTATGCCTTATACGTTCGATCGTTAATTGTTTAATAGTCATTAGATTTAATAAATTAGCTCCTTAAAGTCATAATCCGTTTTGATACCACTATTGTATTGCTCTTTTTCTCCACTCATACCAAGATTTCGAAGAGAAAAGAATTGCGGTCGCTCAATAAACTCACGACTACAGTAATATCAGCTATTCTCTAGTAATATCTCTCTACTTCTACTCTAATGGGCGATATCTTTTTTATTACTTATTGTATCTATGAATTCAAATTCGTATATCTGAAAAAATATTCCATATATTTTAAAGTTTAAACTGTTGAATAATGTGGTGCATATTTAAATTACTTTTTATTTCTATATTTAAGTTAGTATATAAGACACATATTATATGTTGTATTTTTAAATTCTAAAACGGCTAAAACACATTTGTACCTTTATTCATTTCACGGATGTATGAAACATATATTTAGCCGTATTTTATATAGAAATTGCTCTAAATAGGAGCAAAAACGTTTTGAAATTCAAAAATAGAAGTATCATGTTTTTTTATTCCCTGAATAGGAGTAATCTGCCATGTTTGGAAAAAATGCCATGTTTTAAAGCATATTAATGCCAAACTTGGCAAAAAATTACTCCTGTTCAAGGAATAAAAACATGGTACTCCTGTTTTGGAATTTCAAAACTTTTTTACTCCTATTTAGGAAATTCTCTCTATTTTATACTCCGTATAATTGTATTGTATTATACACGAATGTACGAATTATTGTATTATTCACGAATTGTATAATACTAACAAAGCCTTTGAGCATGAGCGGAGCTAGGGATCGGAGTGGCATGGGAAACCTAAGCCTACCCCAAGTTCAAAAATGTTTAAATATTAGTGTAAAAAAGTTATATTGAAAATTTTCAAGAAAATCTCTGTGGTGGCCCAGCCTAATCTGGCCTTGGCTACGCAATATATATATAAATGTATTTGTTTTTAGGAAAATTAACTCCACCCTCGACTAAGCCTAGCTTGTAATTTTGATGATCACGAGAACATCAATATGAATGAGTACTTTTTTATTATTTCCCTTTGCCATGTTTCTAACAACAACGGTTATATATCCTATAGACAAGGCCATGTGTCATTTTGTATAGGCACCCTTTTGAATTTATTTTGTTGAATTTATTGTAAAACGAAAATGTCACCTTTGCATTGGTAAATATTGGAATTTCTCATAAAATAATACAGTAAAATCTTCTTAGGTAGCTTGTAGGAATTAAATCTCATATATAGACACATACACATAAATATATGTATGCATCAAAAGTCATCAATCCATCCAAGAGATCTGATATGAACACATACACACCATTAAGTATAGTCTCAATCAAAGTCCCAGAAATCGATATCCTTAGCTGAAACCCATGAAAGTTTCCTGTCTGCAAACCCTAAAATAGAAGTCCCATTGTTGGGATTCCTTTCCAGTACTCCTCCGCCCTTCCAACCACCCAAACAAACCCTAGACTATTCCATTCCTCCTCTACCTCTTCTATCTCCCTCTGCATATTCATTCATATTCGTGAATATATACTACCTACCTCAGCTCAGCAGCTCACAAAACCGTACCACCACCAACAAATCCGATCCATAAAAAAAGGTAAGGAAATGGGGAGGGGGAGGATTGAGATAAAGAGGATAGAGAACTCAAGTAACAGGCATGTGACTTTCTCCAAGAGAAGAAATGGGATGCTCAAGAAAGCTAAGGAAATCAGCGTTCTTTGCGACGCTCGGGTTTCTGTCGTCATCTTCGGCAGCTCTGGCAAGATGCATGAGTTCTCCAGCTCCCCGTATGTATATCACCTACCTTAAATTCACTATATCTGCCATGCCGGGTTTTCTCTAAAAAGAGTTGAATTAATGAAATATTGTTATTATTATTAATTATTAGTACTTGTATTCTTTTATTTAATTCCACTCTTGTTTTTTTTTTTGAATTGCATGAAGGGTTGTTGATATTCTGGATCAATATCACAAGCTCACCGGAAAAAGACTGTGGGATGCTAAGCATGAGGTGAGGTTCATCTATATATACATATTCTTTCTCATATATCCACTGATCTTCCCCCAAACAAAAGAATGGAAAGAAAAGGAAAAAGGGTGTGTTTGTTACTGAAAGTGTGCTAAGAAAATGGGATAAGGAAATCTAAGAGCAGATCTAGAAATGGAATGTGTAGTAGTCAAAGCTAACCGATCTATAAGAGAACTAAGGGATAACAGAAGGGGTTGGTTTTTTGCTAGAAACATGTAAGCCGAAATTTGTTTGAAGAGATCTAGCTAGAAATACTCCGATCCGTAGCTAGCAATCAAGCTTAATTAGGATAGATGCACTTTTTTCTGTTTGAGATCTGATCTAGCTAGACCCTATACTTTAATATATATGTGCGTGTATGTATATATAAATTCTCTACACAAAAGATCGATCAGATCAGCGATGCTAGCTTAGCTAGCATGTAAATATGTTACATCAAAGAGCTACGGATCTGATAGATCGATTATATTTTCATTCTTGTTGATGAGTTACAACTTACAATAAATAATGGGTGTGTATATATAGATTTTCCCTTTTGTTGCAAAAAGTAATGATATAACTATGTGTCTTATCATCACCAGATCACCTAGCTACATATTAAGAGTGCTTTTTTGCCATTGATGTATCCTTTGACAAGATCCATTGATACGATGAACTTCCTTTTGCCTGGTCCAAACTTCGTAAAGCTGCCTTGACCTAAAGGCACAAACTTGTACCATGAAGTGAATTATCAAAAATTATATCGACACTTCTTTTCATAAAAAATCCCATTCAAATGCTTATTTATTTTTCCAATTCAAGTAAAATTGAAAGAAATAAGTGCTACTTAGTCTTCAAGAATTTGACTTTTATGTTTGTCAATGAATAATTTTGACCACTAATATGTATACATACACCACTATTTGTAAAATTCCTAAGAAGATATACTTGAAATGTTAACATACTCAAGTCTCATCTAGGTTGGCATATTTTTACTATTCTCTTCGTCCCATAAAATTTGATCATATTTACTTTTGTTGATCAATAATAGTCAAGTTTGGTAAATGATATTTATAACACGAAACTACTTCAAATATAAAATTATGTGAAAATGATCTTTGTTAAAAATGTTTTTTAAAACGTATAAAAGTTGGATATTTCACTTAATAACTAAAAATATTGTCCAACGTTTATTATCTTTTGATAAAAAAATCAATTAGACCAATTTTTTTGAGACGGAGGGAATATTAAATTATGAGTTCAAAACATCCACTAGTTGCCATTCATAGAATTAATTAAAAGAAATTGCTCAAAATAGGAGTATGAAATACGTAAAATTAAAAGTATGTTATGTTCTCTAAGTAGGATAACATAAATCTAAATCAGAAAGGTACGGTATTTAGAAAGGAGTATTAAATAACATTGTTATTTAAATCTAAATAAAAAATGATAAAGTGGTGTGGTCCAATCAAATGAATGGTAGGTACGGTACCTCATTTTGTCACCATAAAATAAACCTATAAAGCCACCTGGATGCATATTTTATAGGGTTCGTTAAAGTATTTCAATGTTTGTCGCAGGTAATTAACTAGCCCTTAATTGCTCCAATAAAATTGCTTTCCCATTTAATAATTTCAATTCCCCATCCAGTGTAATGTGGATTTTTTGTGTGTGTGGAACATAATACTGTAGGATTTGGAGAACGAAATCAATAGAGTCAAGAAAGAGAATGACAACATGCAAGTTGAGCTAAGGTAATTAATTATATGCAATCTAATGTGTACTTTTTATGCATTCTCAATTTCTCATTGTCATTATTATCATCTTTAAGTTGATCACATACAAATTTTAGTTAATTAGCTCGATGAGGGCATGAAGCGTCTCAAAAATAAACTGAATCAATAAATAAATAATCCATGCATTCTTATTATGAATATCTATATATGTGTGTCTGTGTCTGCAGGCACCTGAAGGGAGAAGATATCTCATCTCTGAGCTACAGAGAGCTTATGTTCTTGGAGGATTCCCTTCAGAACGGGCAAAGGATCATCTCTGATAAACAGGTACACTATAAGTTTAATTTTTTGAATCTTTTAAATGATCTTAAATCACGCCCTTTTAATTTTCCCAATATATCCAACAATAACCCCAAAACTAATAAACTACCTTCGCTTACCAAAAAATATACTACCTCCGTTCCAATTTACTTAGCCAAACTTGACTTTTCAAGTCAACGGCCTCTAACTTTGACCAATTATTTAAGCTAACATATTTATACAAAATTTAATAATTTTATACTTTTATAATAGTGTTTTTAACAAAGAACATTTTCATATCATTTTCATATTATCAATACTTTCTCTATATCAATATATAATCGGTCAAAGTTAAACGTTGTTGACTTGAAAAGTCAAGTTTGCCTAAGTAATTTGGGACGGAGGGAGTAACATTTTCAGGCGTCTTAAATGTATACGAGTAGGTTATATCGAAACTTATTCTAATTTCATTTCTCATTTGTGAAATGAAACAGATGGAGGTTTGGAGGACCATTACAAAACGGGTAAGTACACATCCAAATAATTCATCTTATTTTGATCACTGCTATTTCTTTTCCTTTGAAGTACACACATCCTGAATATAATTAATAATTCCACCATTGTGAAATATAAGGATTACTTCTTTACTTTTACTTCGACTTTTGGAAATAATAAAAGAGGATACCTATCCCGCAATTAAATTCACGTCTTCGATTTTCTTAGTCGATCAAACTTTGTTAAATTTGACTATTAATTGTTCAAAATTTATTTTGAATATTTTATTGGGAGACTTCCCTAAATAAGACTAAATAATAGAGAAGTTGCAACAATAGGAACCTCAAGTTCAAATTCCCAAAATAAGACAAGCTCTTCCTATTCTATCCTTTCTCTTATCATTCTTAACATGACTTTTTAAATAATAATAATAATAATAAAACATAAAAAAAAATAAAAAATAAAAATAAAAACCAAAATAATAAATAAAAAAATATACAAGTGTCAACCACCACCCTAGTCACCTTCTAGCACTGCCACCTCCCATCGGTGGAAAAGAATGCTAAGTAGAAAAAAAATGTCACCATGATGGCGATTTTGAAAAGAAAGCTGAATATTTTCAAAGAGTAAAAATGTAATCTTCATGACATTTTTAGAGAAATGTGACATTTTTTACACAAGATGACATTTTCTTCCGGCGAACGGAGGTGGAGGACGTGATGGCAGTGGCCTACACATTTTTTAAATATTTTTTAGGTATTTTATTTTTTTTGGACTTTTTTTTATTTTTTTTAGTTTTTTCACGTTTTTATTATTAATTTATAAAAATTTTATTAATTTATATTTATATTATAAATAAAACTATGATTTTCTTAGTAATAAAATAAATGTATTAGAATTTATAGGAAGGGGGCAGAATGGGAAGAATGGACATATATTATTCCTATTTTGAGAATAAAAGGATTGTAGTCCAATTGTTAAATTTTTGGTTAATTCTAGTCCTATGTATTAGAATTTAAATTTATACATGGCAGTAAGAACTCCTATTTCGGGAATAAAAACATAGTATTCATATTTTGAAATTCCAAACGCTATTATTCTTATTTTGGGAAATCTCTCTTTATATATGTGTGTCGTATTGATAAAAAAGAAATATTAATTGCAAATGCGTAATGAACAAGAATGTTGAACTATAATTCTAGAAAAAGAACAATAGTGAGCATAAATTTCCTTTATAAGAAAAGAACAAGAAAACTGTCGTGATAATGGCATAAATAGCATTCTAAATTGTTGAAATTTGAATGCTTCAATCCATGGTATCTATTTGAAATTTGAACCAAATAAAATAATATGGTGCAACCGTTAGAAATATGGTCCAAGTTATTCCAATCAACTTAGAATGTTTTTATTTGAATTACATTTTTTTATCTAGTTTGATAAATGTTTGTTCTATATATATTTTAATTATCAAAATTTGACCTGGTTTGCTCTATATGGTCTGATGAAACCTGTCTAATTAAAAACTTCCTTAGAAATAAATCTGATACTACGTATATAGCTAATTTAGTCATTGCAACACACCATAGCTACAATCAACTTGTAATGACCATGACCTCATCATTTTGGTAAAATAACTAGTTACAAGTGTTTTTCTCGAATTAACGCAAAGTTTGATTCGTTTATCTATGAGATTTTTCTTTGAATGTCGAAATTATATAATTGTGAAATAATTACATGTACTTAGAGTATCAAATTGATTCATTCAGTAGGTGATGCAACGATGTTAGTATATTTGAATATTACTAATTAATTGATGTAATAAAATGGAGATTATTTTCGGAGTTGGGATTGAAAAACAAATAGACTTGGTGTCATTGGATTGCTCTATGGACTTGTAATATAGATGGTAGGGCATTGAAATGTTTGCTTGAATACTAATTTAAGGTGTTTGATCGAGTAGTACAATGTCTAGATTATTTTGTTTCTCCTGCCAATTATAACATACGTAGTATATAATAATGTAACGCACGTTAACCATATTTAAGTTAACATTTTCTATAATGTTGGATATATATATATATTTGTAATCATATAATCAGATTCAAGGTGCGGGAGAGGAGAATGAACAACTCAGATACCGGATGGTACGTAATCCGATCCTCTTCCTTAATTAGCGTTCTAATCTACAATAATTTTTGGTATGTATACACAAAATATGTACACACTTAACACATATTTGTACATGCATATAGACAATTACGTACAAATGTGTGTAAAGTCAATACAAATTTCAAAATAAGAAATGATCACTCGTCCCTTAAAACTTTGTCAACTTTCCTTTTTTGACCGTCCCACTAAATTTGCCACTTTCCCTTTTAAGTACAGAATTTGTGGTTCCAGTTCATTTTCTCTCATATGCACAAATATCTACCACACAGTTTTTATTTTATTAATCAACGTACCAGTCAAACTTGTCAAAAGTTATAAGGGACGGTGAGAGTAATTTTTTCGGCTGATCCATGCAGGGCCGGTCCTGGGGCATGGGCAAAGGGTCATGCGTCCAGGGCCCACTGCTCTCCTAGAGCCCATAAATTTTCCATTTATATAAGAGGAATATTTTGATCAGTCCGAATTGATCAGAATCGCCGTAAGGTCAATCCCGTTTGAGAGCCTTTTGGGTTGACTTTTATAATGAAATTTTGTGAGCACGTTCTTCATAAAATGTAAAACATTCACATAAAACTTCATCAAAAATTTCAATTGAGAGTCAGTTAAATAAATTCTTCAAAAATACTGCGCAAACATATGCATAAAAATCACAGTGTTTTCAACAATTTATTTAACTGATTTTCAAATAGAATTTTAAGCTGAAATTTTTGAGCGAATGTGTTACACTTCATGACGAACATGTTCACAAATTTTCATCAAAAATGTAACTCGAAAAGCCCTCAAACAGGTTTGGCCGCAAAGCGGTCCTGGTCAGTCCGAACTGACCAGAATTATATATATATATATAAGTGTGTTTGTATTTTAATATATAATAATTTAGAAATAATATCAAACTTATAATTTTTTCATTACGTTCAATTTTTTATTCAACATCTACAAACTACAATTCTAAAATTTTGAAACATCTATACCATAATTGTTTGTGAACAAATTTCACACTTTCTTTTGATTCATTAAGTGTATGTTAGTGCATAAATGTCAATATTTTCATCTACTTCTCTCATGTAAACTCGTGATTCATTGATATTATTTTGTTAATTTTTCTGTTCTCTCATGTAAGTGAAAAATTAAATTAGTGTACCCAAGATTTAGAAACTTGCAATTTGTTTTCATCTAGTGAAAATGTGAATCAACATATCAAAATTTTACTCCATAAGCGATATAACTTTCACGTCTTTCCCCAATTCAAAATTATGTACTAACAATCGTTCTACCTTTCCATTGAGTCGTTTTGGTATTTCCAGATAATTTCTTTGATACGTAGTATGTTATACTCGTATTTGAATGAAAAAAATGTTTCATTATAATTTTTATAAACAAATATAAAAATTCACACGTTATCCTTAAAACCTAGTCTATATGTATCGTCACGGGCCCATACAATGTCAGGACCGGGCTTGGATGCATGCACCAAAACGTACGTTTTCTCGTAAATTTTAATGACATGACTGCCCGGGTTGAAACTCATGAACTGTAACTTCGAGCATTACGAGGCCTGTACGTCTTTTTAATCGATGCGATTAAGAACAGCTTTATTTATTCATGATTATTATCCGATTTACTTATGCATGATAGGATATATAGAAAAGAAAGGGATTCAATTTCAAAGCTTGACCTAAACCTGAAAAGCAACTCTAATTAATTAAACCAGTATAGCTAGACCCAAAATCCAGACACTATCCACCCGTATTTATATAGGGAGTATTAAAAAAAGGATGACACCCATCTCTGAGGCCCCCAACCCCGATCGGACGATACGTTGTGAGGATGTAAATTGGATTATAATAACAATCTGACAGATAGAGAGTGTAGCTCTGTCTCTGGAACTTGCAGAGGTCTTATGCATTTTTTTAGCATAGTAACATTTCATCGCATTTGCCGGGATTCGAACTCGAGATCTAACCCTTGTGCCACTCCCTCGCTACCAGTTGAGCTACGTCCAGCGGTTCCACCCGTATTAATGTGTCTATATATGTATGCATTAGTTAGTAGGCTAGTAAGCGATTTGACCGCAGTACATATGAATGCCTCGACCAATTCCTAGCTAGGAAATGATTAATAATTAGTGGATATATCGAATAATTAAGTATATGTCTTAATTACCTTAATAATGTGTTGCATAAGTGAAATGAAATGAAACGCCAGCTACTTAAATTAATTAGGCTCATTCAATTCATTGTCGCAACACTTTTCAACCGGTGATTAGTTATTTGAAAAGAAATATCATAAATAATGTTACTAAAAAGCATGCATCCCATCGTCGTCTCCCGAACGTTTAGTTTTAGAAACAATACTGGCCAAATATATGATCCAAATAAATATTTTAATCTATCTAACAGTAGTTTTAGCGATCATATTTGTGTCCAAATTTATTTACTCTAAAGAGACTATATATGCATAGTAAATGAAGTACTATCTGATGGAATTAAGGAAAATCTTGTAGTTTTACCAGGCCACTTGAGTTAAGCCTGAATTGATTAATAAGTGTGGTGGTTAATGACGTTGCTAGTTAGCTAGGTTGTACACATTAATTAATTAACAATCAATGGAAGTATATTAATTATATATATGCAGAGACAACTGGAAATAGCAGAGATGAACCGGAACTTGGGAGAGTTTGGGGAAGTTTTTAACCACAGAGAAAACAATAGTAATGCGGCGGCGGCAGAGTACAAGTCTGAGATGCCTTTCACCTTCAGCGTCCAACCAATGCAGCCTAATCTGCAAGACAGATAAATCACTCATCAATACATAATAATAATAATAATACTAATAATAATAATCTGCACGACGCATGCAGTGCGCGCGAGTGATTATTTGAAGTTTAATTAATTGCGCTTTGTACCCGTCTTTTTATTTTATTAATAATTATTAATTATTAATAACATAACAATTGTAAGGTTAGAATTGGAGACCGGTTGATCGATTAGGGCGATGTTTCGTTTATGCATGCGTGTCGTTTGTCTGTTTGTATTATTATTATTCATTAATTATACTCCGTATTATATTATTGCTTGCCTATGTTTAATACGAAGTATGTAGTCATTTAATTTAGCGTCTAGTCACGATTGTTTAATTAGTTAGGTCATCCCCATCCATTAAGATTATTTGAAACATTATCATTGTGACTCAGAGATTATTTATTGATAAGATTATTGATAAAGAAAATCTGCTATCAAGATTTGGATCCTGAATTATTTTAGGTTGTAGTTAATGAGAAGTTTTAAGATTTGAGATTATTTAAGGTTTATTGAATAAATGTCATGTGACAATGATGTGTAATAGAAAACCCATTTATTTTAAAATCATGAATGGAGATGCTCTTATATTGGGGAATTGTTAGCAATCATTTTACCCAAACTAAAACCATATTCATTTAGTCAGGCTTGTACATGAATAAGTAGGAGTTACCCAAGCTAATTTTACCCAAATTAAGTTTCATTTACTGATTTGCATTCTGCAATAGCGTATGTTAATATTTATTAATATTGTGGGTCTCCTATTGTAATTATGACTCTTATTTATTATATATATCTCATAGGGCTACCACATTGGTTAAGTCCGGTAATTATTCTTACATGGTATCAAGAATCACACCCATCTAGATCCTAATTTTTTCGGCCATGATAGCCGCTACGTCCGCAACCGCCTCCTCTGCGCCGGTCACCACGCCTGTCGTTGGTAGTGCGCCTGAAAATTACACCGTTCTCGTGTCTTCTTCATCTTCGCAGCTACTTCCCAGACGTTGTCGGTTATCTCTCAGGTACGGGGGTTCGAGCGCCACATCAACTATGTTGTCGTCGCCCTTCTCTGAGACAGCTCTGCCATTTTTCTCCACTCCTGATGCAGCGGCATGGGTTCCACCCATCTTTATGTGGACTCCAACGCCGCTTGCTCCTCGTCCATAGGCGGCTTTGTCTCTGTTCTCCGATGGTCCGAGTGACTTTCGTCAGTTCTTCCAAGGCAGTCCGAGTGGTTCCTCGACTGAGGCTTCCAGCTTTGTCGGACCCACTTTTGCTGGTTCTCCCGGTGTTGCTCCGCTTCATAATCCCGATATTATTGGTTCTCGCAACTCGGATCCGGTAATTCCATGTTCTTCTCTGGCTGATTTAGTAAAAATATTTTTTTTTTCTGCTCTCAATATCATAAATATTGTTACTATCAAATTAGTTGCCGTAGAAGATTACTTGTCCTAGCGTACTCAGTTTGAGTCTTTTCTGGTGTCTCATGGTTTTTTGGGGCTCTTAGATGGGTCGATTCCTGCTCCTCCCCATATGTGTCTGATGTTTATTGTCACAAGGTTATTAATCCTGAACATTGTCATTGGCTAAAATTTACCAAACTGTTCGTTCCTGGCTGTTTGCAACTTTATCTCGTGATGTGTTAATTGAAGTTCATGAATTGAAGAATTCCTTTGCTATTTGGATCAGTTGCAGTCCCACTTTATGCCCGCTAGTCTTGCACGTTCCATGGAGCTGAAAAGAAAGATTTCTCACTCCAAAAAGAGTCTTACTCAGCCCATGGAACATTATCTTCATGATATTAAAATTATTGCTGATAACTTTGCTGCCATTAATGCCCATGTGTCTCACCATGAGTTGTTACAATATTCTTTACTTGGTCTTGGACGAGATTATCAATCCCTCATCACTTCGGTGGGTTTGTTTCCGGAGAGCGGTACATTTGAATCCCTTCAGACCAAGTTAGTTGAACAGGAGCACAATCATCAGTATATGCTGGCTCAAGAGGAGTCTGCACCAGCTCCAACATTTACCGGCCAAGCTCCAACACATGCGGCTCCAGCTCACCCGAATGGTGTACAGCGAATCGAGGGCGTGGTCACGGCCAGGCCAGCCGCGGGCAGCGTGGTCATGGGGGGCGCGGTCAATGTGGCCGAGGCTACGGTCATCAGCAGTATGGCTACGACTGTGGTGCACCGCATGGCTATGGATATCCTCCAACCGGTTATTTTCCAGGGGTGCACCGCACACTAGTATTCTTGGGGCTCCAAGCTCGGCAAGTATGTCTGTTCAGTCATATTTTTATACGCATGCCTTATCTACTTCTTTTACTAATCATGGTTATGCAGGCTCTTCTTCATGTGAAGGGAATTCAGTCCCTCCTCCTATAGTCTGTCAAATTTGCTATGCTCCAGGTCATTCTGTTGTTTCATGCCCGTCTCGCTTTGCTCCACCGATTGCGCCTGCTCTTGTTGCTTAGACTTCTGAAGCTTCTGACATTATTTGATATCCTGACTCACGTGCCTCTGCCCACATGACTCCTCATTCAGGTATTTTAGCACATTAATCTATTTCTTCCCAAATCTCATTATGTAATAGTTGCAAATGGTACTACCCTTGTAGCATCGTCCCCAAGCATTTTTACTTTTAGTAAATTATGTAATAAACCTTGAAGGATGATTTATGAATTTGCGTAATTGTAAATTTTATTATTTCTTTTACGTGAATAGTATATTGCATGTGGGGCCCACGCCCGGGGGGGGGGGGGGGGGGGGGGGGCGATAATTCCCGAACCACATATTAGATTCATCTTAGTCTAGATGACACCTATATGGGGGTGGATATTTTATTTGGGCCATAAGAAGGGCATGGAGTTGACCGGTTGGTCGAACGGGGCCCAATTACCGGTATTGGCAATTTAACAGACAACAGCCCGAAATGAGTTTCGGAGGCTCCTAAATTAATGTTGGGGAATGTACATCTATTCTAAAGGCCCATAATTATTGGGAACACGTGATATATTTTATTTGGTCCGATAAAATAAAATATGATTAAAACGGGTCGAGAAATACAACTTTCGGGGCCGATTGTACACACCGAGACTTAATGGGATGACCTCCCACATAAGTGGGGGCCACCCCACGTTTTTATGGGTGCTGATTGACCCAAATTAATGGGAAAGGGACATCCAAAGGTGGCATATCCGGACTTGTGATTGAGGGAGTGGTTGGAGGTACATGCACACCCATTTAGGGCCCTATCAACACCTCAACTTGGTGTTTGATTGAGGACAGGTGCCTCCCCCCTCATTTGAGCCATACGGATAACCAAAACGAAGAGAGAAGCTCTAGGCATCACCTCTCAAAAAGCTCAAGCTTGAAGGAAGCAAGAGAAGAGGAAATCCAAGGAGAAAAGTATAGTCTTTGAGGTAAGAACTCATTGAGTATTCTTGTAACTAGTTTACTCTTGTATGATTTTTTGGAAATCATACTGTGGATTAAACCATGAGTTCTACACGTTTAAAAGTGTAGAATATTGTAATAAAGTGGTGATATTTAACTTAGAAGAGTTGGTGAATCGATAGGAGTCGAAATCGCCGGAAACCGCCACTTTAAGGGAGCTGCTCGTTTCTGCAGAACACGAAAGCCGCTCGGCTTTCGTGAAAGCCGCCCGGGTTTTGCCCAGGCAGTCCAGTTTTGCCTTTCAATCGGCCTAGAACGAGGATTGATCGAGGGGCGTAACAAAGGCAACCATTGTAGCACATCACGAGGTGAGGATGGCTGACTATATTGCTTATAATTAGTGAGTTAATTTCATAAGTTTGCCTAAAGTAATTAGATGGGATTTTCATGGATTATTAATGATTAATAATGCCTAAATGAAGATGATATTGATATGAGTAAGTGAAGCATGATATACAAATTTAGAATAATTGTGTATGATTATGTGAAATAAATAGAACGACATATTTATGGAATTACTATGATGACATTGTGATAAAATATACTTTACCCCATGTATGAAATTCATGAACGGAGTAAAGTGATATTTTTGATATTGAGATCAAACTATACTTGTGTTGGGAAATCAATTGAAATGAAAAGTCAATTGGAAAATAGGAACTTGGCATGTTCTAAGATTATCCAATTAGTATCAAGGGATCTGGTTTCAGAATATCAAGGGATGATTGCCTAATTACTAAAATACACTGTATTTAGGCTAATAGTTCTCTATTTTCGCTGAAAAACGCTAAATCATATAGATAAGGCTAAGTATTTTTGACACTCATATCTTGCTGTGTGTTTATCCATTTGGAGCGTATGATATCTTGTTGGAAAGATAGATCGGAGCTCTAAAGCTATTGTTCCAACTTCATTTACAATGCATTAATTAAAAGTTACATATTAACCATATATTCACAAATGTTTCTGATTTCGCTCCGAACTCGTGTAGAATTTGATGCGATCATATCTTGCTCTAATTTGTGCCGTTGAAAGCGTTTAATATCTCGTTGGAAATATCTTACAGAGTTCTAAAACTTGTCTTCAGGCGCTGGTTTCAAAATATCAAGGGATTATTGCCTAATTACTAAAATACACTGTATTTACGCTAAACGTGCTCTATTTTCGCTAAAAACGCTAAATCATAGAGATAAGGCTAAGTATTTGTGACACTCATATCTTGCTGTGTGTTTATCCGTTTGGGGCGTATTATATCTCGTTGGAAAGATAGATCGGAGCTTTAAAGCTATTGTTCCAACTTCATTTACATTACATTAATTAAAAGTTACAGATTAACCATGTATTCACAAATGTTTTTCTTATTTCACTCTGAACTCGTGTAGAATTTGTTGCGATCATATCTTGCTCTATTTTGTGCCGTTGAAAGCGTTTAATATCTCGTTGGAAAGATCTTACTGAGTTCTAAAACTTGTCTTCAGGCGCTGCTTTCAATTTTTTTGGATAAAGGGTAATTATATATATAATCCAAAAGAGTTTCTGTACAAGTAAGGCAAAAAATATGGGGGACAAAAATGCTGCTATCCCAACATGGGATATACCATAAACCTGTGGGCTATACAATCAGTCCCAAATCACACAAAATAAGGCATGTAGCCGCACCCTATCAAATGTCAAAAAGTAATAAGCTCATGAGGGTAAATACTATAGAGGATCTTATACACCATGTATTGGATCCTGGAAAAAACATCTTCCTCATGGGTCTTCTTATCATCAAATCTGGTGGTATTTCGAACTCTCTATAACCAGTAGATAGTATAGATGAATGCAA